AACAAGGCGAAACAATTGCACCATGCATACACGACAATAAATGAAACATGGAGACTGAACTCAATCAAACAACGTGCGAAAAAAGTGTGCAATCGTCTGAAACATCGATAGAAAAGTAGAAGGAACACAAAAAAAAATGCAAGCGCTGCAGATGCTGCGCCCATGTCTGAATAAAGAGTGCAATCCTCTGAAACATCAATGCGAAAATAAAACGAACAAGAAACAACAACCTGCGCCTACTGCACCTGTGTATGGAAAAAATGTGCAATAGTCTAACCATCTGTACAAATACAAATGCAGTCATGACGAGCTGCACAGACTACACCTATGAACACATCACCTCATCCGAAGCACTAAATATACTATACACTACTGAGAAATACAGGACGAAAGAGGACCGTTGGTGGGACTAAACATCATCGTCGTCCACAATGTCCTTCCTCCTCCTCTGCGGCGCCACACCTGTGACACCATCGCCGCCACCTGTGCCGCCTACCAGCCCGTGCGTAGTATCCGGAGCCTGAACCCCCCCCTGTGGCGCTGTCTCAACCCCGCGCTATGATTGAAGAAGGTCATACACGAAAACCCTCTTCCGTTGGCCAAGAGGCATCTCCAAATCGCCGGTACCCGACTCCCAAACACCTGCTGTCTGTGACGGTTGCTGCGCAGATACCACCCTCACATCCTCCCGCAATATACGTCCGGCCATGGTCCTCCCGGGGGGCCACTGTGCTCCTCTTGCTCCCCCCTACCTGCTGTATGCCCCCCAGTACGTGGCATCACCGCCTCAACAGGTGCTGTCATGGGCTGCTCCGTCGCCCGGGTGGAGGCCCTCTCCCGCCAATGCCTCCCGAGTCCGCGGATGTAAACCGGCCAGCCCGGGTTGACTCTCCCGCATCGTCTGCGTCACCCTCCTCACAGTACTAAGACTCTTACTTGCTCTCATCTTCTTCTTCCGTGATATTGGAGACGGAGACTTTGCAGGTGCCGGTGCGGGAATCCGTCCTGTGACTGGACCCTCAACATGTACGGGGGTAGTGGCATATGTGGTGGATGATGGCAGTGACGGGCTGCACAACACGTAAGTTGGGCCCTCTGCCATTAACCTCCTCGACGCCTCATCCATTCGTCCGCGTCGATCTGCTTGCAATGGGTCCTCCCGTGTCTGCCGCTCCAACTCCCCCGCCGTCATGGCTCCACTGATAGGCAATATACAAACACCCTGAACCGGCGACGCGGGTTTCTCGCCTGCATCCCCACCGCCCGCACTGCCACACTCAAGCACTGCATCGTCCGTCGCACAATGACCCTCACCACCGCCCGTCTCGAGCATCGGCTCTGCCCGTGCCCTCGACGCAATACTCTGTGTCATCTCGCAATGGCTAGCCAAGTCCTGCGCCCTCTCCCTCTCCTCGCGGTCGATCCTATCCTGCTCCGACTTTGGCGCTCGCTCCTGCACAGGTCGACAATCCCCAGCATTCCCTACTGCATGGTCCTGCTGCCCGACAAACCCTGTGTCCCCTCTGCTGCCTCCTGCAACATGCTGCTACTGATGTCACCCATGCTGCATGAAGGTATGTCCCGAAGTATCTGGCTGACGGGCGTAGCCGCTACGTCCGCATCACCACTGCCACGCTCGCATGCCGGTGTCGGAGGAAGCCCTAACGAAATATTCAAAATACCATTGAAACTGGCACCCAACTGCGCAGAAGCCCTTCGAACCTGTGCAGCCTCGCCTGCAACCTCTGCAAACCCGCCTGCGACCTCCTTAGACGCCACTGCAAACTCTGCAGCGGAGGGAGCGGCCTCTGCAGCGGCCTCTGCCGACGCAGCACCAAAGTCTGTCGACCCGGCGCCAACCTCTCCTGTTGCTGACCCGGCGTCAACCCAGTGCACAGTGCGAGTGGACGATGCAGACTCTCGCCTCGCCCGTCCTCCGCCACCACGGCCTGCACCCCCTGTGTGTCGTGCACCCCCCACACCCCTACCTGCACCACTGCCTCCCCTGCCTGCACCACTGCATCGGTCGGCACGCTGTCGAACCGACGTCCGCAAACCACCTGCAGCCTGTGTACCATCGTTGCCGTCATTGTCGTCGTCACCACGTCCGCGTGTCGGGGAATAATCGGGATCATCCTCGTCCTCACTGCTGCCCTCGTACCCCTCCCTGTCATCGTCGTCGTCATCGTCGTCGTCGTCGTCGTCCTCACTGCTGCCCTCGTGACCCTGCTCGCCATGTCCAGGACGATCTGTAGGTGGAGGGGGATGCTGCGCAGTGGCTGCAGTGGAAGCAGGAGCACTCGAAGGTGGAGGTGGAGGGGGAGGGGGACGCGGCTAAGCGGTTGCAGTGAAAGCACATGTCCGAGGACGCAACGTCTCGACGAGAGGACCATCGTCGCGACCATCATCAGAATCTTCGGGTTCTGACTCCACTGCTAGGTCATCGGGATCAGACCACGGCTCCGCCTCAATCGGGTCCTGACCCATAGGATCAGGCTCGGGATCGTACATGGCGTCCAACTCAGTCGGCATAAGCACCGTGGCGCGACGACCGAAATACGTCTCAACTCTAGGCGGAACCTTCGAAAGGTGATCCTTCCGCCCGCGCTGCGCCTCCGTGACTCGGTCAACTGGCCGAACACCCTCGTCACGAGGCGGAGGAATAGTGTCCTCTGACTCCTCCTCAGCATCCTCCCATGGCAGAACGTACCCTGAACCCCTCCCCTGACAGCGACTCAATCTCAAGTTGGTGGATATCTCCACCAAACGAGCAAGCTTGATTAAACCAGTGCCGAACCTGTGAACGTGACCGGCACCGGTCACCTGTTCGTGACCGGTCGGTCAACGGGCCTAAAATCCGTGAACGGCCGTTCACGGGGGCCGTTCATGGGTGTTCCGCCCACGGGGACGGCGGTACTGTCGGGATGGGGGCGGGAGGGGGGTGGTG